AATTAAAAAAATTAGAACAAAAATAATATTAATACTATTAAATAAATAAATATTTTTAGTTGTTAGTATTCAAACTTGTTTAAATTAATTTTTAATTTTTAATAATAATTTTAAAATTTATAAATAAACAAAACAAAAAATTCAAAATATAGACATGTTAAAAAGAGACTTGGGTAAGTGATACTTTAGTAATATTACATCATTTCCAGTTCAGTATTACATTAACAAAAATAATCAGAACAGAAATACAGCCAAAGGTGGTGTCGTGGTGTAGTTGGTTATCACGTCAGTCTAACACACTGAAGGTCTCCGGTTCGAATCCGGGCGACGCCATTTCATTCTTTCCTTTTGTTTATGTAGTTTTCGCGTTGCCTCCATCTCCAAGCCCCTTTCTTCCTTCCCCTCAGAAATCAAAGAATGGAACTCTTTGATCCCCAAAACCTTGTGATACTTGCCTTCCTCCACATTCATCGTCTTGTGTCTCCACCGGCGGCACTCGACGTCCGGCTCTTGACCGCCGAATCCAGGTCTGCCATCTCCGCATTTGGAAGGTGCAAGCGTCCTTGTTGGCGCATTCTGTTTTTTGATTACAGATTAATGGATTAGAATGGGAGATCAGAGGTTCAGGATCTTATAAACAGTAGATTTCACTAAGAAGAATTGCTTTGCTCTTGCCAAGGTATGCTTCATTGACCTGCTCTTCTTATGCTTGATTTGATATTGCACAGGATAGGAATAGCTATGCAGCATGTTAATTCTATCACTTCAATTTCGTTAATATGTGTTTTGAATTCTTGATTGGTGAAATTTTTTTAATTGATTCGTTTCTTTATCAAATTTATGCTGAAATTTTGATTCAAGGAATTGTTTGAGTTAGGAACTTCTCCATATTTTTTTAAGTGATGCTTTTCTGCTTTGTAGTTCAATCAGGATGGGTTGGTTATTTCTGATGTTTGTTTTTCTTATGTTACTTAGTTTGATTTAGCTGTCAGGAAATTGCATATCTATAATTTTTGGTATGATTTAACAATGTAGTCTTGATAATATAACAGTAATAGGGCGAAATTCTGCATGCATATAATCAGGAGTGATTGTTTTGAGTGAATGTGACCTGGGTAACGATCCGTAGGACTAGTGAATTACTCGGCTCATAACATCTACAATGAGTGGCTTGGGAAGGGGCATTTGCAGGTTGGCTGTGTTGTATGTACTTTTGACAATATGGATCTTTAAACTGATATATGAAATTGAGGATATAAAGGGGTAAAGGTGATAGAGTGTAAAGTCACAATTGGATGTGTTTCTTGCATGCTCTTTTCATTGGACAGGGAGTGAGTTAAACAGATTTATTTTTCTCTAATACTAAAACTTCTGTTGAGAAATATTTGATCATGTGGAGGAGGTTTTTGATATTGGGTGAAGTCTATGTTCTTTGTTGTCTCACTTTATGTGTTTGGTGTCCAAGCAGAAGAGAGGATTTTAACCTTTTTTTGACTCCCTCTCCCAACCCTTTGTTCTTAGTGCTGTTTTTAAGCTACAATTGCTTTTGCAGAGGCCAAGTGTTCCTTCTTGAAGGTTCCAGTTGAAAATTGAAGCTCTCTACTACTATTATTACCACTACTGGCTCCATCTAGATAATTAGCATAAGCAATAGAACATATAAGCCAGAGCTCTGACCAACTCTATATGCACCATGTCTCTGTGTATTGGGTGGGATAGAAAAGGACTGGGTAGAGGTCTTCAGGTAACCCATTATACTTATAATGATACGTTGGAGGACAGTATAAGGTGCAAGTTCAAATTTGCATCAATTAAGAAATCATATTGAAAACTCAAGTTCTGTCACTTTGAGTTCTCATAGCATAGCATCACTGAGAAGCTATCTCTTTTAGTGGTTTCATTTATGTATATCCAGTACCCTGTCTGTTGGGCTGACTAATAGGAATTCATGTAAGCTACTGGAGGGAAATTGGGCTTGATGGTTAATGGCTTTCATCCAGCCCGTGATATTTTAGTTAGACTTAACTCTTAATTAGCTCACCAATAGTATACAAGATAGGCAGATAGCGAATTAGCCCCTGGTATGGATGCCCAGTTCATTAGCATAAAAAAAATCTCCCTTTGCTTTTGACGTTCTTGTTGGCTGCGAAGACAAGTCCATTTGCATTGCCTGTTATGGTCAACACGTTGTTATCATACTGAGAGTCGATTATGACGGGCAAAATTGATTTCTTCTGACAAATGTTATTCTTGTGGCTAATCACCAATGTTTGACAAATTATACAAGGAAGCTACGGGGAAGTTACAGTGACGGTGATCAAATTTCCAATATGTTGAAATTTGCCAGGCCGGCTCAATGCTGCAACTTGGAAATTGAAATGACCAGGTAGTTTCATTTTATGCAACTACCTTTGCAATATAGATTAGTTTTGGTACGACCGTACGAGTTAGTCAAAGTCTCAAACCCTCTTTTTCCCAGCACGTTAAAGGGAACTTGTGCCTTCAATTCCAAGAAAGTTGTTGCTTTTGGAAAATCTTTTGTATGGAAATTTACCCAAAGGCAGTGTTGTTAAAATCGCGATTTAAATCGTAAAATTGTGCGATCTTATGATTTTAGATAAGCATTTTTGGTAAAATCGTAGTCAAAATCGGAATTTTGTGAAATCGGGAGGTAAAATCGTAAAATCGCAATTTCACAGTAGAATCGGATAAAATCTCGATTTTACCCCAGTTGAAGAAGTTGGACCATTTTCTCTTGGGCTAATGGGCTTTGACCCAACAACCCTTAAATTAAACCCATTTCTTATTTTAAAAACCCACAACCACAACCCTCAACCGAACCCAACAACAATTGCACTCTCCAGTCCAGCCAACACATGCTTTTGTATTGGGCCACCTAAGCTTACTTAGCCATGAATTGATGACCTCTCTAGAAACCAACATAACGTGGCCCAATGAAAATGGGAGTGTTGGCTGGAAAGTGGTGTTCCAAGCA